ACGCAAAATTATTGTTTAAAATGGACAGGACTTATTCTAGCACATTGAGGTAAATTTATATTTCTGTCCTCATAAGAAAGAGAAAAAAACTTTAAAAATTAATTTCCCAGTCAAAAGAAAATTTTGCATGTTTGAAACATCTTATTTCGTATATGATCGATTGTGGATGTGTTCGTTTATATTTGGTAATACTTATAGGTTATTATACATTTTACTGTACAATACGGAATATATTTGGACGAGTACACAGTTTGAAAAGTCATATTTAACTCGCCTATCTATTTTTTTAGAAGAAAAGGTATTAATTCATGAATTGTTTTGTTGTACATACATACATCAGTTCAAGGATTTGAATGATACAATGAACACTAGTCTTTTAAGACGTTACAGTATTTATAGATTTATCATTTACTGTAAGTTCTAGAAAATTTACATTTATCATTAATATCTGTTTAATGAACAATATAATTATGTAACAATAAATCCAAAAAATATCACATTGACACCTCTTATCTCAATTATCACATTGACAATAATATATAAAGGATATTGAATGAGTGTAAGTTCAATACTGAATTTATTGCACGAGTTGAATAAAATTATATTATGCGAGCCTCTGGTGAGTGCAATAAATTCATTATTGAACTTACACGAATTTAATATTCTATTTATCACATACCCAAAATAAAGATCGTTTTAAGTGAAATAAGAGTCATTTTTCATTGACGCGCCTATAGTATAACGTTAACATTTAGCGCGTCTTTACACTATGTTTGCATAACGCTAATGACGTCATGTCAAAATATATGCACGGCCGTGCAATACCATATTTACGGAGTCGCAAAATCGGCACGGGTGTGTGATAAAGCGTCTTAACGCTATGTTTATATAATGCAAATAACGTCACGTCAAAATATATATGCACATTGTCGGTCGTTTAATGCACATGTACCCAAACGTTCAATATAGAATAAATAAAAATAAAATAAAAATAATGATAATAAAAACCCAACAACATATTCCGGAAATGTCATTCGTTCGGGGGGATATGGAACACATTGCGCTAATATCGAATGTAGATATATTCCTTTTGTTTCGTATTTCTCTCCATTTGAGACCTTAACACATGATTACACTCTGGCCATTTACAAAATTATTCCCATTGGTTTTCCCGCCAGAATATATACAATAAAATATCTAGTTTAGACATGTATAATTGTATATAAACGATGTATACATGTATATACATGTGTACATTATTATCAAACGAACGATATGATATGAAAAACCCTCGTATATTATGAAATTGATAACAGTACGTCAACCAATTAGAATTTTGTTTTAATCTCACAGAAAACCAAATCCCCATTTCCTTCATCGTCATATTCCCACGGTCAATCCATTAGTATGTTAATCCTTTAAACTCATGGCAAACCACCTTTCACTTGCAGAAGTTAAAGTCTTAAAAGGGTATATAAAGATTTTTTTTTGCCCATTGTTTATTGACCACTCATAGCATATACGATGTCTACTCAGGTTTGAAATATTTTTTTATAATATATATTTTCTTCTAAAATGATATGTACGAGTTTGTCAAATGTTTACAAAATGTACCCTCAATAAAAAAGTTAGGGGAGTGACCATGTTATCAATGGGGCGGTTTGTCGATTGGTCTGTTGTATTTCATTTTGACAAAAGCGTAAATGAAAAAGCAAATATAAGAGGGATCAGCTTCAAACTTTTTTTACTTTGAATGATATGTAAATGTTTGTTGAATTTTTTTAAAATGTTATGTACCCTCGTTTAAAAAAAGTTTTCACAGAAACGTAAATGAAAAAATAAAGTATAAGGGGGATCAGGTATTAAAGTACCGGTTGGAAGTGCAGTGCACAAAAGCCGTATCTCTCCAGTTTTTTAGTGATTGCGCTTTGATGATGATTTTTGTGTCGCCTTGAAAAAGGCGACATATAGGGGTTACTTTTTGAAGTGCAGTGCACAAGAATCGTTACTCTGCACTTCTTAATGTTTGAGTTATTGCCCTTTGTTAATTCTCATACTTTATTTTTGTCCGGGCCATTTCTCAAAAAACTATAAAAGCTATGGACTTGAAACTTCATATGATGATATATCTGATTAAGAAGACGTGCAGTGCACAAGAACCGGTACCCTGCACTTCTCTTTTTTTTTAGTTATTGCCCTTTGTTAATTTTCATACTTTATTTTTGTCCGGGCCATTTCTTCTAAACTATAAAAGCTATGGACTTGAAACTTCATAGGATGATATATCTTATTGAGATGAAGTGCAGTGCATAAGAACTGTTCAAAAATCGGTACTCTGTACTGCATGATTTTTGAGTTATTGTCCTTTGTTAATTTTCATACTTTATTTTTGTCCGAGCCATTTTTCCTAAACTATAAGCTATGGACTTGAAACTTCATAGGATGATAGATCTCATTGAGATGAAGTGCAGTGAACAAGAATTTGTACTCTGCGCCTCATGATTTTGAGTTATTGCCCTTTGTTACTTTTCTTACTTAATAGGCTTGTCCAGAGCATAACTTGGTCACTTTAAATTTGATTGACTCCAAAATTGGTATGTAAGCTTTTTTCATCGACCTGAAGTGCAGTGCTTAAGAATCCATCACAGAGTCCTCCATTTGATCTGTCTGTGTAAAACTTTTCCATTTTTTTAATAATATATCAGTTTTGTTAATCCTGATGTAACATTGTTGCAGGCAGTTCAAATTCAACCTAAGGTAAAGGTACATGTACATTGTAAGAGTAATGTTTATAAATAACCTATATTTAAGAAGAAAATGCATAAGTGACAGCACACCCGACTCGCGGCCTTCTAGTTCATATTTGAATTTTGTCCGAGCATATCTGAAAACACTGCATGAGTAAAAGAAGCGTCGGCAAGAAGTCAAGAAGTATTAGCTTGACACTTCGCATGTGAATGGGGGCATTGAGATGTGCAATACACAAGAGGTGCAACTTGTAACTCCAGTTGGAGATAGATAATTTGCAGTTGTTGCCCTTTGTTAGTCACAAAGGTACAGCTTGTAATACTGATAAAAAATCATATGCAATTGTATATTGTATGCATAACAACATCAGATTTTTCGGAATTATTACCATTTTATTATTCAAAGTTTGTTTGATAAATACATAAAAAAAATACAACTGATTATCGTTGAAAAAGAGAAAGAATTGCAATAATAAAATAGTTTCTCTGGAGTTTGGAACATGCGATAAATTAAACTGAGATACTAGGTCTTGTGTTCTCTCTCTCCCTATCTCGGTGCAGTATTCGAGGTGGTTAGAGGACATTCATCTCTGCTCGTCGGACATATTCAGACACCGTATATTATGAAGAAAAAATACATGGACTTACATCAAGCATTGCCTCTCTGTCAAGTCTCTAAAATAAATAGCTGAGGTTCGATGTAAGTCCATGCAATTTTTAAGGCTATCTATCAAGTCTCTATAATTATCCTCTTGCGGCTAAGGGGTTGCCTTTAAGGGCCGAGGCTTAAGAAATATAGTCATCGTTTATTCCTGCGTGATCGTAGGAGGCGACTAAATGGGTCCGAATTACTGGAGTCTATGCTTCTCTTAGCTCCAGCAGGTATGGTGGTTTGGACCCCTGGTGTTGCTGTAAACTGGTAACACATTTTCCTGTTCGGCGCCATATGACATTAATTGTGGCGGTGTGTCTTAAAACCAAAACAAAAGTCTCTATAATATTGTCAAAAATTTTACCGTTTCTTTCAAATGATAGGAGACCAATATTTCTGGCCGGACCATTAACTGCAGTAGCAGTGATAACTATGGAATATTTTGTATGAACAATTACTAATGTACTAGAGTAAGGCCATCCGCAGTTTTCATGGCATTGTTGACTTTGCAAGAGGCGTGGAACCCAACAGTCAAGGTCAACTAAATTCTTATAAAGTCGCTGTCTGATTATTAATATTGAGATCTTTAAGATGCTGTATGTTGTAATTAAGGATGTAACAATACTAAAGTGAAATTTTATATAAAATATTATGTATATAATAAATCTTCTAAAACAATTTCCAAACATCAAAGAATATGTTAAATATGTACTACAAATGTTTAGTCGAATTATAAGTAATCATTAAAATATATGCATTCATTTCTTATTGAAAAAAATTGACATAGACTTTATAGAAAGTAAATTTTGAATTACCTCCCTGTATTTACATTTCATGTTAAAAAATTAATAATGCTTTTTGGTATGGTGGCATATTTCTGCCACCATATAACCATATAACTATCTAGTTAATTTAGAGGAGGTTAACTAGTTACGTAACTAGTTACCATCTTAATTAACTAGTTAGTTATGTGGTTAACTAGTTACGTAACTAATTTTTTTCTTCAATAAATAAAAGATCACAACAGGAAATAAATGCATGTTAGTACCTACAACTACCATCCTTTTATCATTTTACCAGCTTAATGTTAAGAGGTTAACTAGTTACGTAACTAGTTAACTTCTTAATTAACTAGTTAGTCAGTTACTCTCCCGTTTAGTATCCGTTCGGACCACGGCTTTAATTAAAGCTGTGATTCGGAAGGAGAGACTTTATAGAGTTCGAGGTGGGGGTCTCTGAAAAAAAAGTATTAAATCCAACTGGGACTGCTGTACAACTGGGTCCAAAAAATCACCTTAAAGTCTTAAAAGTTTCTGATTGACAGTTGGCGTGAGGGTCTAACCAGAGGCACTTGGTTTGGGGATAAAAACCCTTTTGAGAGCTAGGTTTGTAGAAGTCAAATATGATTGAATGTAGCGATTTTTTTAGTTAACTTGATGTTTCGATTCTAAAACCTTCTATTTTCCGATGTTACTAAAAAACTTTTTGGAAAATGGCGGTTTTAGAATCAAGGCGTTAAAAAACACAACTTTCTGCATTATCTATAATAACCTTCCTTATCCGAAGACTGACGGAAAGGGCCGAGTAGACCAGTTCCGTAGTTTGACGGAAAGTGGCGAGGGTTTCTATTGGAGCGATTGGTGGCTATTTATAAATAGGATTTGTGTTTATAACACCATTATTGTGTAACACACATGGTAGAGCAAAACTACAACATTACGGATACTTTTTTGAATTAGGTTTGGATTTTTCTACATTTGTCTTGATTAAACGATTTTGTTTGTTTATATAGATGTACTCGATGATATAAAATAAAGGTTTTAATTATTTATGTCAGAAACGAAAGTAAAAATTTAACACGTGTCTACTGGTAGACATTTTCGGCCTCAAAACCCATGTCTGTTCGACCCAGGTCTGTTCGGCACTTTTTTAAAATGTGAATCAGACATATTTCTATTGCATATGTGTACCTGCTTTATCTCACTGCTGATTTTTGTCCTAGATAGAAGATAAAGTGTACAGTATATAGTATATCTTCTGTCCCAGATCTATATTATCATGGAATATTCTGGAAAAATAATTTATTAATAGAATGTAATGTATTCTTCAATTTACTTTATTTTCAAAGTTTATTTAACTGAAAAGGTAAATGAATAAATTTAAATGAAAAATATGAATTATATGTATAAAATTTTTAGGTCCTTTTGGCTGTTTTTATTTATTTACTGTATATTTTTGTGTGTGTGCAGTAAATGTTGTTTTAATATTGATTTGAACATTTAGTACATATATAAACTGATAAACAATGTATCCATTTAATTTATTTTCAAAAACTGTCCAATAATTGTCTAATTAAAAATACTTTTTATAGAATTAACTTGATAAGTTGTCATTATTAAACTTTGTTATTTACTTTATAGATTTAATTGGTTCATTCTTGGACAAAAGGACACTTAAATTAGGAATGATTAATTCAAATGTGATCTTGACTTTTAAATGAACTTGACATTAATGGTCAAATAAGAAATTTGAATTATATTTTGTTCAAGACCTTTATGTTTTCTAGGAGTATTCTTTACTGCAATACTCTTTCTTTAATGTGTTTGTCACAGGGTGAGAAAAATGTGCTGCCTGATCTGGACTTGAACCTGGAATGCTTGGAATATTGTACCAAAGCTTTAATGACTGAGCTATCAGGCAGCTTACACACTATCTCTGTATCTCCCCTAAATAGTGAACAGTTCTGAATCATGACATCCTTTCCCACAATATTGAAATTCAGAGGCTGGCATAATATGATTTTATTCCACCCATTCAATAAATTTAATTTATTATCACATCTACAGTCATTTAGTATCCTCTATTAAATATCAATTGTGTAAACTTTTATATTTAAACAGAGCTAGATATATTAAAATAATTTATACTTTTAAATAGATTTATTTTTATACCATGTGAAATTTTCTTATTTCAGTGGTGACTGTTTTATTTTGTAGATGCCATATAATAGTCCAGGTCCAGCTGGGGGTTCCGGTGCCGACAAGGCTGGTCCTTTACGCTACACTCACAACTACGTATATAATATTGCTGATTTACTTGGTAAAGGGGCAACTGCATCAGTTTATCTCGGGAGAGAACGCGTAAGTGATATCAGTATTGTATAACTAACACAAAGATTTAAATATCATGCTAAGGAAAATACTGTTACCCCATGCATCAGCCCAGGGTTACAGTATTTTTACAAAAGGATGTTATTTTTGCTATTACTCCCAAGCCTATGTGTTATTTATTTATTATTCTAAACAAAATTCATACTTCCTTAGGATACTGTTTCTATAGGTTTTATTTTTCAGATTTTTACTGTGAAAAAGTACTGTTACCTATGTAAGTTAACAGTACAAAATTTTAAGTCACATGGTACACTTGAATTCAGAGTATGAATAACTGACATTGGCCAATATCAGAAATTAACATTACAAATATAGTGAAGGGTAATAATATTTAATATTATATCCTATTGTCACAAATATTATTCAGTCCTGTGATCAAACTTAGGCAATGGTATAAATGATTCTGTTTTACTTTATCATTGTCAAAGGTAATTTTATGGTTATACACTTAGCTGTTAAGATGAAGAAATAAAAAAACAATAGCATGGAACAACATGTTGTCCACATGTTGTCTTTTGTTCAGGTCTTTTAGTTAACTGATTTGACTTTGATTGAAAATCTACTTGTATTGTAGACTTTAACTAATATATGTTAAAAGTTTATCTATAATTTCTGATTGCAGAAAAATGGCCAACAAGTTGCTATTAAAGTATTTTCAAATGTTGACTCTCGTCAAATTACGCAGGCGAGACTTCGAGAGACCGAACTCCTGAAATCGGTTGACCATAAGAATGTCATGCAACTCTTTGCATGTGAGAGTGAAGTAAGATATTTCTTTGATCAGTTGAATTGTTTAATTTCTGTATGGAGATGCTTTGCTTCAAATATGAAAATATTCAATGGTACTGAAAATGGTTTCTGTATCAAAGTAAACTAAAGAAGCAGTAACCCAGGTTTTTGTACTTTATTGAAGTCAATTAACAACCAAATTGTTTAAAGAGTGGTAAGACAATATCAGTTTAATTGATTTGTAATTAGCATTTTATTATGGCACAATTATACAAAATTTATTTTATACATTAATTGATATTAATTCAGCTAAAGGCGAACATATTTCAAAAAGCATGACTTTAAATTACATGTTATATAAGTTCTTGATGACAAATTTTTACTGCAGACTCTTTTTAAACCCATTCTGAATAGATTTGAAGGATGTGAAATTTTGTGTCTAGCTAAGAACCTAATAATGAACTTAAAGTAATGATGTAATTTTAATTTTGTACTATTATTTTCAGATTGGATCGGGTCAGTATGTTATTGTTATGCCATACTGTCAGTGTGGGAGTGTATATAACCTTTTAGAACAACCTCAGAACGGATTTGGTTTCCAGGAAAAAGAATTTCTAACATTTCTGAAAGATATAAGTAAGTAATAATGCAAGCTTTGTACATGTGATAAATAGTAGTACTAATTTGGCCATTGGGTTGAATGGTCTTTGCATCTAGTGTTAACTGGCACATATTACTGAACTTTGCATCTTTTATTTATAATGTTACACTTACCTACAAGTCAACAACAGTGACCCTTTAAATTGATAGTTAACAGACCATCTTTTATATCACCAAGGCAGAATGTATTGGGCTTTTCTCAAAGTCTGAAATGAGCCTTTAGCTAAGTCTACAATGGTGATTTTTGTTGCATATTCAAGAGTTCAAACTGAATCAAATATACAATACTCTTTAGTTATTTTAATACTTAAAGGGACTCAATTGAGGTTTTTTGACAAAACCAGACTGAAAATATTTCTTCAAGATAACATTCCATTTGATGTAGGTCTAGACCAATAGCTTGTGTGCAAATTTTCAGATCATTTGCTCACTCCGTTATCATAAAGCAATTATTCTAGATGTGAAATATGACCTTAAATTGGAAAGCCTTGCAACGCTTTTCACCCAAACTGGGCTAAGAATAGTACATAAATATGATTTTCAATTCATTACTGAATATATTTCTTAATTTTGTTTTGTATATCATTCTTTGTTAAGTATCCCAACTTGTCTATGTAAGAAAATCAAATTTTATGTTTTTAGACTTTTGAACCTCAGTGGAGTTCCTTTAATACATAAATGTCATAATGAAAAAAAAGAAAATTCTTCAGTATTGACTCATTACTTTTGGTAAGACAATAGATATATTAAGGTTTGGTTTCATTATAAAAAAGTTTTAAAAAAGGTCGCTGAGTGTGATTTTCTAAGTTGAATAGGAAATACTGTAATGCTTGTTTATTTTATATCATTCCAGCAAGTGGTCTGAAATACCTGAATCAAAAAGGGATAATTCACAGAGATATTAAGCCTGGAAATATAATGAAAAAAGTTGATGAAGATGGGAGGTGAGTCATGTATTTAACAGACAGACAATACAGGTGTCTGTCAATCATAATGCATTTTATGAATAACATCTATATTTCATATTTAAAGCTTCTACCAATGTGACCAAAACACACCAAAATTAGTCAGATATATGATGCTGCCAATAATATTTTGAACATTTCTCTAAAAATGATGATTATGTCCAGGTTAAAAAAATTAACACAGCCCATAGAGATATTTAGCATAGCCAGTGTTAGATTTACAAAATTGTTGAGTGTACTTATTATTTGTTGAAATCATTATAAAGCATGCATACAATTCAAAATGGTTCATGTAGTTGTACTCAAGAAGTAATTTCTAATAAAACAAGTTAAGCAGTACAGTTCTGACACACTGGAAAATTATTACAATGTACAGTATTTTCCAACATTTTACAGTATTTCAACATGTTTCTTTTGGATTATTTAGAAATCTAGAACTGTATGATTATTTAGAACTTGGTTATGTCATGGAAAAGTACTATATGTTGTTTAAATGTAGGCAGGGAAATATATTTTCATTATAAAAATTGATATATATGATTCAAATTACTTTAAAAGATATGACACAAATAAAAATGATTGGGATTCCTTACCTAAGAGTCCCTTTATACGATCTTATAACCCTTTACCATTTTGAAATATTAAATGGGGTCATCTCCACTCCCACATGCCCTGTTTTTGTTTTCCTACTGATCATGTAGCACGTGTTCTACTTTATGACCTGGCCTAGTTACATGACGCACTACGTACAAATGTACATTGTTGACGACGAGTATTAATTTTAAGTATTATATGATTTGTAATATTTGGAAATATTGAATATGTTTACTTTAAGCTTCAGTAAACAAAATAACAAAATAACCGAAGCAAAGAACTAAACTTATTTTTTACATTAACTCTTCTTACAAATTTAAATACGACATATGCTGACTTAAATCTATATACATGTAGATATAAATAGATATCATGGTAATGACTCGTATAGTCTGATTTTTTTAGACAAATAAATTGAAATTTGTTTTGTTTTCATTGACAACATAGTTATAACATATCAACATAGTAAAGTATTACATGAATGAATAGTTCTAAGCTGACACATAGGGGGCGTGGTTATATTATTCATACTTGACATAACGTCCAAACAACGTAGCGTAGGTAGATTAAGGCGTTTTCAGGGTCATGGGCGTTGTATCGCTTTTCTGTTTTTCTGCTGATACACTTATTTAATGAAAAAACAGGAAAACAAATTTAAGAAAGGGTAATAGAATGTTATAGAATATTAATATTTGGGAATGATGTGGAGAACAGAAATATTTGTTCTTTCTTCCTACGTAAAAATGTTATCCCCCAAAACATTCAAACTTTTAACAATATATTTAGGTAATGTTTTCATGTCCACCTCTGTTATTGCAGGGGTTGAGTGCATTATGAGCTCATATATTTGCACCTAGTTGAACCTAATCTATAATATATGTGTTTATTATTTGTGCCAGCCTACACAGAAACATAAAATAAACTTTAAATGGGAAGGACTAATTGCAGCATATCTTTTATGACTTATCCTAAAAGTAAATTTTCTTTGATTTTAACAAAAAATATTGGCACATTTGTTGTAAAATGTTAGATTATCTAATACGAGTGTAAATGTACTCTTTTGTTATTGCCTTTGTTTGGTATAAGATTTAAAATCTTTGGGAATATTTCCTGACTCATTTCTTTGTTATTTATGTATAATCCAATTAGTTACGGTGTTGACAGAGAAACAATTGTTATTAGAATACAAAATGTAGATATATTTTACTTATAGCCCATAAAAGAAGAGACAAAAATAACAACACCATTTAACCTCTTTTACTATTTATCAATTATATTCATATTTATGTTAGTTACTATTGGATCTTGGTAAGAGATATGGTTTCTTTTACACTCATGCTAAGGTATTAATTAAACTAAAAAATATATATTTATTCCCCGTTTTGAGTCATTATAAATTTATGATACAAATATGTAATATGCATTAGACTGAAAGCAATTGCTGTATTATTTCTCATAGTAAATATTTTAACTCGGTGTTTGATATTACATAGTAGGTTTATTCTCTTTACAAATAAAAACTTTTTAAACATGAATATTGCGAATATTATCATAACCAAAACATATAGCAAATAACAGAACATTTATATTACTTCAACAACAGCATATACTTTTATTTTCAAACTATTTCAAAACAATTTCTTACCGACTTGTTAAGGTAAGTCCGCCATCTCGTCTGTTACAAAATAATGATGTCAGTTTAAAAATAGTTCCGAGTTAATTATTAATTTTTTTTTCTGGTTTCCTGAACTTTCCTAAGATTTAAAAAAAAACTATTTTCTTTTTTATTATTATTAATTGTATGATTTTAAGCAGCAACGTGACAGAAAAACAATCTGTACAAGTTTTATTTTTCAGTCCTTTATAATTATGTTCTTATTTTTCTAACTCTGGACAAATTTAAACGAAGTTAGCACAATGTCATGTACAGGACCAAGTTAGCGTGAACGGGACTGTAGACATTTTTTTGCAATACTATACATGTACATGTACTATACATGTACTTATGCAAAGTATGCAAAGAGGTGAAAAGAAATCACCTTGACTTGCTAAGAGTATAAGTTTCCATATTTTCATAATTGTTTTCAGTCCAGTATACATATTAACTGATTTCGGAGCCGCAAAGGAGTTGGGGGAAGATGAAACCTTTATGTCTATTTATGGAACAGAAGAATATATAGTAAATATTAACTTTAATAATTTGTCTTTATATATGATTTTATTATTGATAAATTTAAAATTATACATGCGTTATAACTTAAGATTTGAAACATTTCTGTCGGCCTATGACTAGAATCACGTTTCAGTGACAGCTAGTGTTACAAAAGTGTGACAAAAGTGTGGCAAAAAGTGTGAGACTGTTACAGAAACGTCACGCACAGACAAAAATATATATATTTAAAAATTAAATGCTTAAATGGAAATATATTCTCATTATAGTGTAGACCATTCCATGATTTTGCATATACACTGCACACCTATGACACCTTCAATATATTGTGTATTACTTTTAAACAATGGACGACTGGGGTTTATGTTACCCGATTTCTAACAACCCTAATGTAAATCATCTATGGGTCAACAAATTTTCTACTATCATTTGATAGTGAAAATCATGAAGGTTGTAAGAAAGGTTTATTATTCATGGTTAGATAATAATGATACAATGTCTCATGACTTCTTTACTTGTGATAAGCAATTAATTTCCTTGTATGTCTACACGTGCTGGTCAGGTGCAAAGTGCATTGGTTTTTAGATTAGTGTTTAAATAATTTGCTCTTTAGCACCCGGACATGTTTCAAAGGGCCGTGTTACGTCAACCGGGTCAACAACATTTTACATCATCAGTTGACCTTTGGAGCCTGGCTGTGACGATATATCACGTAGCAACCGGAAAACTCCCATTTCAAGCGTTTGGGGGCAGGAATGACTCTCGTATGATGTAAGATGTCACTTTACATTAATTAGGATACTTATAAAATATTTAAAAAGGCCTTTAAGGAGTTTTTACAACAAGTGAATTGCTTTGTTGTTTTCAGTTTTTAATTATACAGTATTATTACCCATTCCCCCTCCCCCATCAACACATTCGCATTTAGGCCTTCTTAGTGCAAAGGAAAGAAATTTCTTTTTATAAAATATTTAGTTTCATATTCCTTTAGATTTAAAATATTATATAAAATTAATGATAGCAAAAAAAAAAAAAAAATAGAAGAAACGAGATATAATTGTTCATGTCCTCTTACAATGGTTGATAACTATATATATATATATATATATATATATATATACGTATTGTTTTGTCAAAACAGAACATGTTTTTAATTGCTATAATAACGCTTGAATATCCCTTGACACAGATCTGGAGTTATAATTTTGTTTATTGCAATATACATTTAATGTGTACGCCTTAATAATAAATTCTTGAATTTTATGTGAAATTCGTAGGTTCCAGATCATGGCAGGTAGACGCTCAGGTGATGTGTCCGGTATACAAAGAGATCAAGATGGACCTATAGATAGGTCTCAACATTTACCTGACAACTGTTATATATCCAGGTGAGGCATACTGATATATTACTTATTCTATTGTCATTTACTGTATATTTCTTATACTATTGTAATATGAACACATATTCATAAGTTAGTATTTATAGTAAAACCAGAGTTTTTATAACAGAACTTATAAAAATTTCTAAATGCACATCATTCAAATAGATCTATGTAATTCTTTAAGCTAATTTATATTAACATCTAATTTTTAACGTTAAAGCGGGTGAAGTTTTGTTTAAATTACGACCCTGTCCCAGTCTTAGCAATTTCTAATATATGAATTTATGTCGTTTTATTTAAGTGACCATATTGCCTCATTCATATTTGTTTTTTGCCTTTTTTAGGGGATTAAGAAAACTTATAGAGCCAATTTTAGCTGCCTTGTTTGAAATAAATACGGCTCGTGCAATGACGTTTGATCAGTATTTCATCGCAGTTAATGACGTCATACAGATGAAGACGCTTAAAGTGTTTTGTGCCCCGACTGGCACCCAGACAATTCTGTATCTCCATAAAACAGACTGGTAATAGTTTTATGTCATTCACTCTTGTCAATTATGTCATTTACTCTTGTCAATACACATTTTGCTTAATTTGAACCAGATGCATACATACTTTTGCAACTCTGAAATAACTAGTAGGGCCACTTTTAAAGAAGAAAGTCTCAACTGATGACGTTTTTAAATGAATGTCTTTCTTTCCTATTCCAGTTATACTCATATACAAGAGAAGATCGCTTCTTTGACAGAAATTCCAGCCGATCGCCAGTTATTACTTTTAGGTCACACAGAGCTCAAAGAAATTGTTGAAAGTCATGAACAAATCCAAACTTTTCCAAAGTCCGTCCAAAATGCTCAATTGTTCTTATTTGAAAGAGATAACTATGAATGGTCAAGGATTGTTATTTCTAGCCTGCGTAAGTATAATACAATGTAATACTAAACATCGGTTTCATATTTCTAGGGCACATGTTTAAAACGACTGAAACTGTATATGTCACAAGTACTGTCAGCTTGCAAATTACACAATTTAATTTGTCGTCTGCTTCCAAAGGTGGTCCGATCTTATATAGAAATTCTAGCACAATTAGCACTGGAAGATTTATAAAGGTGTTTGCCCAATCTTTAAAAAAAAACCACAAAAATTTGTTTGAGTTTACTTGTTAAAGTTGTTAACACTTGATAATACTTTGAAACGTTTGTCAACATTAACTTTTTTTCTTTCAGCTCCATTTCCGTCCTTCACCGTTAATTCGTCGCTAAGCTCAGATTCTGCTGTTGCTAAGAAATGTGCAGCCATCGCTTATTTCATCGAATGGAAGACCAAGGAATCTCAGTCTTTACAAAATTTCTTATTAGAGTCAAAACTATATCTTAGGTAAGTAATGAATCGGGGAAAATGCGTAACTGAAGACTTTTGAACAATATGATAACAAATATAAGAAAAAAAAGATACACTTTTTACGCCAGTTTTTGATGTGTACATTGTATTGTATGGGTAGAACTTTAATAGGACGAAAATTATGGATGTTTAAATGAATACATTAAAGACACCGGACCAAAAGTTGTAGATTATAAAGGACATTTTCTAATTAGGTTATGTCCAAAAAATATTTAAGAGAGGATCGTTTTTATTACGTCATATACTATCGTTTTGATTGCGTCATAGACTATCGTATGAAAAATCATCTACTTTAGTTTATTTTTTTATCTTTGGTATTTTTTTCAAGTTGTATGTTTTCCTGCTATTGAGACAATTCATTGTATTGACTGGTCAATGTCAATTTGTTTATTTTATGAATAAATTGTTTTTCATGTTTAGAAGTACTTAAAACGGGTCATTGCACTTGATATGATAAAATGTTCATAAACAACTAAATTCGGTCATTGGGGAGTTTTTATATTTTTAAAATAAACAAACAACAACTATGCACTGAATCCGGGTTTTACCGGTATTTAAACGACGCAGATATGTAACGTATTATTGTCACATCTGCTGTTATTTCCACTCTACATAGTAAATAAACACAGATAAAAATAAAGTGTTTTTCAACACAGATAAAAAATAAAGTGTTTTTCATGAGCAAAGTACATGTAAAAGACCACTCCCCGTTGACCCAGAGCCCGCGTCCGAAAACAAAAACAATAAGCAAGGAAGAAAATAAAAACAATCACCAAGGTTTTCTAAATTCTGAAAAAAGTGACGTTATTCTTTTTAAGTATTGAAAAAAGTTTTCAAATCGTCTCGTAAAAATGTTTGTAACAAAGCAAGTACTTCCCATTTACACCATCTCCTAACCATAATTGTGTTATAAGGCTAAAAACCTTACTTTAAAGTTGTTATAATTCTCTTACCGAATCTAGCGGATGTCAATAACTAATTACCTAAATTCCCTAATTACTGATATGAACATAGGCTTGAGTAGCTTTTGTGATTGTGTTAATATAGAGATGTTTGCACTAAACAGTACTGACCATGAACAGGCTCAAACCGAGACTGCCATATTTGATATTTTCAATTTTGCCGTTTTGGACATTTTTTCGGGATTGCAGTTTTCGATATACTTAAAGTAACAAAAAATTAAGAAATGTCTCATGTAAGTATTTTGATTTTTCAGGTTGTATGTTCAACATAAACTGTATCCAATAGACAAGGTTGTCCCTGAGTTAGATAAGGCTCTTGGTCTTACCAGAAAGAGAATAGACTGTATACAAATATCACAAACTAACGTGAAGAATTTTATCACCGTGCTGGAAATGATGCATTCAGAAAATGGTGTTTTTAAACAACTAAAAACTCACGTGGAAACATTCTGTGATGATGGCGGATATATTAGTGACCTCATGAACAAGGTATTTGATGACCATTTCTTATCGGTTTCTGATTTTCTTAATTGGCTGTCATTAATTAAGTAATTTCATACCAAGTTAAAGAAATTATCGATATACCAGGTAGCTTGTGTTAAGAAGCTAAAAAGTGATATCCATATTTTTAGCAATATTTTTGATTATAGAAAAATACACACTGGGGGATGATCGAATTTTATCTCTTTTATCATTAATCTGATGACACATTCTTAAGCATTTTTAGCTTGACTATTGGAAGAATAGGGAAAGCTCTTGTACCAACCCAGGTGTGGGCGTCACACTTTGGTTAAGTTTTGCGTGCAAGTTGTTATCTCCAAAACTACGAAAGGGAACTGGTTGAAACTTGACACTCCTATTGAAAAGCATAATAAGAAGTCTTATATCCCATATCTCTAACATGCATTCCGACAAAATTATGGACTTTTTTTTAACTTTGAGAATACTAAATTTTCCAGGCTCTTGTTTTACTATCAGGCACTGAGAAAAGTCGTGCATGTCCTACTTACAGCTCTTGTCTATATTTTATGACACAACCGTTTTGCTGACGTTTTACTACCCTCTTGTTTAAGAGTAATATTGATTAAATTGTTACTATTATAGACAAACACACGTTGTGAAGAAATAAAGTTATATCTTAGCGTGCTTGGTCAACGTATGAAAGAGGGATCTACCCCTAGTCCTACAGATCACATGGGCTGTAATGATGACGATCATTGGTAGGTATTCATTCTATCACGATAAACTAATACATGTTAACTAAAGAACGTGAAAAATAAATATTTGAGGATCAGTGTAAAATATATTTATTGATTAAGCTATGTTAGGTTGTTACGTAAACGTGAATATTTGCCAAAACTGAGTACTGTTAAACTGCCGGGTTGAAAAGTTTGATTATAACGTTATCGTGACTATTACCGTGATTATTATCGCGATATTATTGGAGAGTCCTTGTCACTTCCTAGTGCTGTTTACTTCCCGTCGACACAGGAAAGTAATGAAATAACTCTTTTTGCATGATAAAGCTTTGTCCAAGTTCTACAAAATCTTTTGTGATTCTATATAATCTATGCTGTAAATACTGTGTTTAGGTTAGTAATCCTTGGTTTAATTCGTTCAACACATGTTTAGTCTCGTAATTCTACACAACTTTTAGTATATTATACGAGTTTGTTTTGTGTATATCATCTAGTGTATTTGTAGAATAGTAAGATGTATTTCCGTACCAGTAAAGCTGGAAAGTCGCCATATGACAACAGTGTTGGTCAGTCGATATAAATTCCACTAAAATGATTATTTTCCCATTTTATTTTGATGAATATCCGGGTACAAATAAATAGTAGGATCTGGTGTTTTGTTTCGATAAAACGATTTTGTGTGTTTTGCTGTTATCAAGTGATACATCAAGGACATGTAAATAAAGTCTGCTGATTGGCAAATAAAACAATAAAGTCTGCTGATTGGCAAATAAAACATTAAAGTCTGCTGATTGGCAAATAAAACTTACATGGACAGCCAGTCATATTCGAAGTAAATGAAAAAATGATATGTGAAGGTCATAAATTTGATCACGTTTGTTAAATTACTTCCGTAATGATAAGAACTTAGGGTTTTTATATTATGTGATTAAAGTCTTTTACTTAAGCAATTGTTACGGACATTTCCTCATTCCTTTCTTTTTATTAGATAGATAGATATTTATTCAAGTCCTATACTGACTTATATTATGCCTTCCTGATGATGTGTATCTATAATGTATTGGTTGAAAGGAAATTACGTACTCTTTCATATACATTTCATAAATATATGGGTATTTACTTTATGTTGTGAATGCAAAAAAGATTAGGACAGTTTTACCTCATGGTATGAATTTAGAAGATATGTACTACCTTGTTCCTTTACTATTATGACTTTGGTTTAAACTGCAGATTCCGAGAACGTCATAGTGCTATAAGTTGTGTTAAAGTAACCCTTCATGTGAAATCAGTTGAAATGCTTTAGAGCGACGTAAACTAGATTGTTTCTGTTGATCGACATTGATATTATATCCAGCTGGCTTACATAGCATTGGTTGTTCTACTCAGGTGCCCGTTTGTTTCACAGAGAGGCACCTGTGGTCTTCCTCCACAAGTAAAGCTTGAGCATCGCCATATGACCTAATAGTAACTAACTGTGTCGGTGTGAGGTTAAACCCAATCATCCAAACAAACATTGAGGACAAGTCTAAGAATTAACTTTTTTGTATAAAACACAGGTTCAAAAAACTACATTTCTGACTAAACATATTTAGTTTAATGACTAGAATGAAATTAATGAATTGTTTAAAATTAAAAAGAAAAAGATTGTTTGAAAATACAAACGAAAGTTAATTTTGTTACATTAGTGTATTTACATATCGAAACACAAACATTTAAGTAAGGACTAAAGAAAAAGGGCTGTGTTACAGATTTTACTAATAAGCCACCAATGACTTAAATTTGAAATTGAAATATATCTGGCTGGTCGTAACGAGATATTTATAGTATATATAAATATAATAATATAAAAAGTATGATGTTTTAACTTTTATTTGATTTGGTTTTCTATTTTCAGTTTGCCAAGAATTGAACACATTCGACAAGGTATCCAAACTGTGTCAAGTACATTCTCTAAACATAAGAAATATGGAGAGCTGCACCCTCATGAAAAATTTATACATCAAGTCGAAAGGTATCCCAAAATATTTATTTTGTTAAAATATGGAATGAAAATATTTTTACGATAGTTACAAGTATTTGTATGAAATCCGTACAATATTGCAATATACGCTACTACAATATCGCAGTATTTGAAACAGACTATATATACGCTACGACAATATCGCAGTATTTGAAACAGACTTATAATAATCATGAAGGTCACTAGTTGTTTACTACTCTTCTTTTTACTACGCGTCTTCATTCATTAATCCGATTGACGTAAATACTACTACGTATGTACACATTGTATATGCGATTGAATAACTCTCGTGACGTAAAATGTTGTTTTTATTTATTTTACATCATAATAGATTTAAATCATCATCCACAAAAAATAACAACAAAAAATCATGGTCGTACTTTTCCACGCATATATTACATGTATAGAGATTATGATAAATAAGTAAGCTATGGGTATAACCCGTTGCGTAATATCTCTATATTTACGTATCTATAAATAGATATGGAAACTTCTAGATCCAAAATGACTAATATACTACACGTGTAATCTTTAATTTATTAATTCACGTATTATATTTGAACAAGATGAGCATACAAACACAATTTACAGCAGTTACAGTAGACTAGAAATGTCCTTAAACACAATTTGTTAAGATATTCTAAAGAGTGATCTTTGAAATCGAACATGTAGATCCCAAACAATAACAATTTTGTTGATACCCTGTTTAATGAGTGTCATTTGTATATATATATATATATTTTCATATTTTTCTCCTTATAATTATATTTATTGACCTTTTTTGCTCAACAAAGTAATGTAAATTGTTAAGTCAAACTTGCTCCTCATTATTACATGTATATCATTCATTGCACCGCTATAATGACCTATTTTGAATGGCGGGAAAATACCACGTGTTAAAGATCTGTAGTATACCTGCTTATTGTATATACATGTGAATATATATTTTGTTCAAATAGCACTAACGCAAAAAACTTTTAAAATGTTCATTTTGTTCATCTTTTTTTAGACAAAAGCTTGAAGATTTATGCGTGAAGATTGTGTCACTATTTCAAAGCCATTGTCTTGAGAACTTGAAACGTGTCCATATTGCTGTTAACAAGCATTTAAGGTAACATCCTTGTTTATTCTAGTTCATTTTTACATGCATTGAATTAATAATCTATGTCAATATAATTAGCTGAGTTATTTATGAATCAAAATGAGACGACAGACTCGTTTTTACCCCCCTCCCCCCGACTTGGGAGAGAGTAAAGATTTTCATCTGTCCGTCCGTCCGTCATGCTGTGCTGCTGTTACGTTGACCTTTCGTAGACTGAACAAAAAATGAAAAATGGAAGCAGCTTGTCATATGCACACATTTCTAGTTTAAAATATTGACAGTGTTTTCAATAATTATAAGAAACCTGTATGATAAAGGTTGTTCACATGTTACATGTTACAACTCTTTTGTTTCAGTGTTTTATTGAAGCATTTAACAAGAACAGGAAAAGTGGAAACAAACATAAAATGTGTTGTCGATTGTGAGGCACAAGTTAATGAAAAACTTGACAAAGTATGTACTACTTGTTTTGATCTATCTTTGAAAGACATCCTAATTTAAAAACTGAATTATTGTTTTAGGATAGCCGTAAGAAATTAAGACAAAAAATAAAAGTATGTCCATGTTGAAGTATATAATTCGTTATAAAAACTATGGTAATAATTAGATTCTTATTATTATTATTATTTTACAAGTTATTATCCATCTTACCTAATCCTTACCATGCTGAAACAAAAAATAAACTTTGTCACTTGTTTAGAGCAAGACAAGTCTCCCTCAAGTTTTGTATTTTGATATTTAAAGCCTTTAAACTTCCAATGGGCTGTTCTAAATTGAAAGTAGAGAAAATCCATTAATTGACATAACAGCATTAGATACTGGAATCATCTTATGATATTAGTATTAATCTTTGTATTTGTGCGGAGAAAAGTACGTTTTTCTGGAAACATTATTTATTAAACTGTAACCTTCACTGTATTTAGATAGACGAGTGTTATGGGACTGTGTCTGAGTTACTGAAGAGAAATATCAAGACAATAGTTAATAGCCCAGATCTTGTTCGTAAAAAGGCTAAACTTGATCCAAGTGAAACAACAGAGATATCAGATATCTCAGAACCATTATCTGGTGCAGCAACAGAAAAAGGTGAAAAGGCACTTCTAATGAGACGCTTGCTTTCTGAGTAAGTTATTTCACAAATTTTCTGTCAGTATTTGATGATTTAGAACTTTTTTCCTAGCGTTACAATTCATCAACTTTTCAACAGTCTTTTATTGTTTATGTTTAGAGATAAACTTAATATTTCAATTTTGTCATGATAATTTAGAAGAAAAAACATTACTTGAGTATTGCAAGGGGATTCTGATTTATGAATGACCGGCTTGTATTATATTATATTTTTATAACCTATATTTTTATATTTTACAGGGTTACGAAATATGAAACAGAGAAAAATGAGCTGGATTCTCTGATGGATTCAAACACACAATCACTGCTTGAATTAAAAAAGTACGTAGAAAATGCATTCTTTGTGTTGTTTAGTACGAGTTCTGATATAAAAATAAAGTTTGACCAACCAATGAAAAAGATATCAAACATGAAAGCAAATTTGTTAAAGTCATATATCAAGTAAAAACGGTTATGTGGAATCACTTGCTTTCAAATTGTATGAGTAACATAAAGTTGAAGAATGGGTTATAAAGTAGTAAAGAAGCAAAACATAATTTCAGGTCAGCGCTTTAAATGCGTTTTTCAATTGACTACCAAACCATAAGTGCTTTGATTAGACTGTTGTACATTGAATATAAACTTGCATAACATAAATGTTTAAATAAAGCTTCTCCAAATAAAACGATTTGTATTTTACTTAACAGAATGCTACAGGAAACAAGTCGCCTGAGTTTGACATCGTTCCAGAATGATAAAAGGTCTGTTGAATGTACAGAACCAAAAGACTCCAATGCTGCATCAGGCTTTTCTTGACGCAACTAGAGACAAATACATACTTAATTGACACAGAAGACATTTGAGAATAATTAAACATAACTTGTTTTTTACCGTTGTATAACTTTTTATAGGTAAAACTAGGTACAAAGATTTTTTATATATGGACGACAGACTTTTAATCGTTAAGTTATAGGACACAAGACAAATTTTAATTACACTGGCAGTGTTACTAGTCTCTTCTCTTTCTTCTTGACTTTCTTCTTGACTTTATCAAAACATAAATGATATTGATACATTGGTCAGATATCTATTTAAGACAAAATGCGATCAATGACTGAGATTGAAACATGTATATTGTCGTCTGCTGTATGTCCTAGATTTTGTTTTAATTATCATGTCACATGAGTGGGTTTTTTTTTTTAGTTTTTCAAACTTTTTAGAATATTTTTCACATGATATTGCTTTGCACAAAAACAATGGCGGTACATTTATTATATTTTTGTAATTGTTTACATTATTCTAGATAACACTGTTGCAATATGATATTTTAGGACCCATTACATCATGTTGAACTCAATGCTATTAGTTCTACTTATCTGTAGGGAATTTTATGGTATCAAAATGTAGAACCTTGCAATTTTTGGGACTTGTTTTACGAAATTTGAGACATGATCACTCTAATACACAATTGTACTAGTACGTAATTAACTTCTTAGACATAAATGTGCTTCTTGTTTATTTCTTTCATGTTCATGCACAATACGTATCTTTTATAGAACTGTTAGTTTTATGTTTAAATATTTCATGTTTTTTTGGCACATTCTGCACTTATACCAAAAGACGTAGCATATATTTTTATCACTCTGTATAAAAGTCTTGATATCGCTTTTTTCACTGCAAGAAAATACGACCTTTGTATTCCCGACGCCAGGTTTTAATGACATTCTACCAAACAGAAAATAAAGCAAAACAGTTTAAGGTTTTGTCAGTTATGACAATTCAAATAATTTATTGACATAGGTTTCAGTTTTAAAGTATTCTGATTTTTTTCATATTGGAATAAAAGTAAAATAAAGGTCAAATGCCAATGGTCAACTCAAGTATACAGATTGGTCCCGTTATCATTCTGGCGTAGCTTACAATTTTTGTCTCAAAAACTTGTAATAGTAGATGTAGCAAACCTTTATTATAGCTAAATTAATAGCTCCAGGTCAAGTGTTGACTTTAAGATACTACGGGACAAAATCTGGATATGAGCAAACTTGTCGATACTAATAGCTCCAGGTCAAGTGTTAACTATAAGATACTACGGGACAAAATCTGGATATGAGCAAACTTGTCGATACTAATAGCTCCAGGTCAAGTGTTGACTTTAAGATACTACGGGACAAAATCTGGATATGAGCAAACTTGTCGATACTAATAGCTCCAGGTCAAGTGTTAACTTTAAGATACTACGGGACAAAATCTGGATATGAGCAAACTTGTCGATACTAATAGCTCCAGGTCAAGTGTTGACTTTAAGATACTACGGGACAAAATCTGGATATGAGCAAACTTGTCGATACTAATAGCTCCAGGTCAAGTGTTAACTTTAAGATACTACGGGACAAAATCTGGATATGAGCAAACTTGTCGATACTAATAGCTCCAGGTCAAGTGTTGACTTTAAGATACTACGGGACAAAATCTGGATATGAGCAAACTTGTCGATACTAATAGCTCCAAGTCAAGTGTTAACTATAAGATACTACGGGACAAAATCTGGATATGAGCAAACTTGTCGATACTAATAGCTCCAGGTCAAGTGTTAACTATAAGATACTACGGGACAAAATCTGGATATGAGCAAACTTGTCGATACTAATAGCTCCAGGTCAAGTGTTAACTTTAAGATACTACGGGACAAAATCTGGATATGAGCAAACTTGTCGATACTAATAGCTCCAGGTCAAGTGTTAACTATAAGATACTATGGGACAAAATCTGGATCTGATTTATAAAGGTTTTTACTATAATAGAATAGGAAGAGGGACAGAGATCAAGGTCTTGGTGTGAAACTGTTGTTACTTCAACAGTCTGCAGCAAGTGTTTGAGATTTACTAGACATAGTTACTGAAAACAGTGCCACTTATGATCTGTTGATCAATCAAATACTTACAAAATACTGTCTTCTTCTTCTGCATCTTTTTATCCGGTTTTATCCGGTTCTACTCAAGGTAAAACAGATATAACAATTCATTGTTTGTGTGGGTTTAAGTATGTGTTTGTCTCGAACTTTAGTATAATAACAAATTCAATACTTAGGATTTTAAATGTTTTGTTAAACTAACAATTTTATATACTAGTAGTGGCAAAAAACATACATTGTAGTATGTATTAAGAATTGGAAACATCATCATTTGTGTTAAAATTTGACACTGATATTATAATACCACTGGTCACAGTTTGATTATAATAATTTGAAAATATATGACATTGTACAGATGGTTTTATGCTGATAATAAATATAGAAGTTACACCTGTGTTTCGTTTTCTGTTATACATTTCATGTTGAAAAAGAAAGTCATATACGCATGATACCATTATGTTCATTGACCAAGAAGATTCGTTTTCACAGATACATGTCCAGTTAGGAGTGAAAACATTTAGTTGTTGCTTTGATAATATCGGCTGGTTTATGAGCAAAGAAGGTGAGCATTATATAAAATGCTTTGTATATTCAGCTGTGTATAATGTATTGATTACAGTACAAAATAAAGCTCTACCATAGTTGATTTTGATATTAAAATTTCGCAGCAGTACAAGGTATAAACTAAAGATATTATTTTGATACAATTGATTCGCATACCAATGCCGAATTTGCGACTCCGTATTCTTTTTCTTGCGGTATACACATGTTACACTATAAGTGCATCAATGAAAAAAAGTAATTCATTTTTTTCCTTGTATACAGATCTGTTTTTTTTTTGGGGGGGGGGGGGGTATGTGATATATAGAATATGATATTCGTGTAGCATCAATATTAAATTTATTGACTAATACATGTTTTTTGCTCGACAGCGGCTCACATGTTATGATTTCAAGTAAATTCATCACTGAATATATTATCCTCTATCGGTTTGTGTCGATGGTTAAATTTAGAAATTCAGACTACGTTTTACTGATATACTGATAAAATTGTAGTAGAGTAATTCATTCATGATTAAAATAACCTTGAAACACTGGCGATACGTGCCACACTGGTCGTGTCACGCTCGTGACTAGTGTAACATAGTAAATCGGAAATACCCATACATCCTGTCTTGACACAAGGTAGTCACGATTGTTCTATTTTGACTAACATTAAATATGATTTATACCTGACATTCACAAAAGTTTTAAAAAAAAAGAACGACTAAATAGAATTGCAAAATATCACAAGAATTTCATATTGTGATAAGGTAACTGGCAGTTCTCACGTTTTTAATTACCTTATACCAAAAACAATAAACATACATATACATCTTTCTTTGTAGTCGTGGCATTCCCGAGATATCGTCAACATTATGTACCTTTCACGAGCCTTATCTGGAAACATTGTCAAATGGTGGGAATGTTAAAAGCTATGACAGTATGCGGTAATAGTGTAGGAACTGTTCCCCATAGCACCTTGCACCAATAAATTCATTTAAGTAGTCATTAACATGTTTGTAATGTTTATCAAGTACTAAACTGACATTTGGTAATTTTTATTTCAATGTCAAGTTGTGCTGAATGAGCTGAATTGACTAATATTTGATAAAACTTTACCGTTGTTAATAAATTCAAAGAAGTTTTTGAAGGTCACCTGGGTAACTTATTATTTTTGAAAACCAACATGGCAAACTGTAGTGTACATATATACGAAGGGCTTGAGGAATTATTAACATTTCCTTAGACTTGTATCGAATTCAACAATAATTATTTATATTTAACAAACAAAAAAGTGCATTTTGTCCATCTTTATCATTTATCAGTTACTTTAGATAATGGAACATTCTATGTGACATTCTCATGCCTGTCCATGAACATGTACATTTGAGCCGTGTCACGACAAAACCAACATAATGGGTTTGCGACCAGCATTGATCCAGACCAACCCGCGCATTCGCGCAGTTTGATCAAGGTCCATGCTGTTTCTGTCAGTTTCTCTACTTGTTACAGGGTATGTAAGCGAACAGCATGGATCCTTATCAGACTGCGCGGATGTTGGTTTTGTCGTGACCACAACTTAAACTACCAAAACGTCTGATTGATGTGGCAATTTATAGGGGTTCCGTACAATGATGCTTTTGTGTACGTTATTTACTACGTGTTAAACTTACTAACACTAGTCAGTCGAATGAACTTCCGACGGAAAATAAAAAGTACAACATTTCTTACTAACCATATTTCAGTTTGTAAATATTTAACAAAATCAGTTAGAACAAAGTGTAAATTTGTACTATGAGTATGGACAGAAAAGAAAACCTCTTCTGACCATAGAAACAAGATAAATCAGTGACCAGTGTACATAATGAATTTGGTTTGAGTCTATTCGTGAGAGAAAATTATAAGTGCAATGTATATAATGACCTCAAGTGCTGATTTGTTGATTGTAGATATTCTAGAGGTCAATGTCGTCAAACGCACAATGTTGGTTTTGTCGTGACGCGGCTCATTTTTTTTTTCAGGCGCGTGCATTACATATTTGAAAGGGATGGACTTTGTCATGCAATCTAAATGACTTCATAACCAGACAAAAGACCTAAATTTTAGCATAGACATGCATAATATTGTAATTCGAAATCACGATACCAAAAGTCATTATTACGCAATAACATACGATCAAAGATAAAGTGTGTCACATGTTCTTAGCATTATCATGATCATGTTAAATATTATGATGTTTTTTTTCCTCGAGATGATGGTGTAAACTCCATACAGACTCACATCGAAAGTTATATTTTGATTATTTTCAGCATATCGAACGTTATATTTTCTAAAAAAAAATGTTCAAAAATAAATAAATTAATTAAAAAAAAACGACGCGGTTTAGTAATCATAGAATTATAACTATTATTGTTCATGAATAAAATAATGTCAGTTTTTTATGTATAGGTTAGAGTGCATATTGGGTGTTCTTCGTAAATAAGAAAGCTAAAAAGGAGCGGAGCTTGCGAAGCGACTGTAGCTTTCTTATTTACGAAGAACATCCAATATGCACTCTAACCGGCTTAGTGCTCCGCCCACTTGCGTTTTATAATATAAAACGTCCAGTTTATATAAAATCTGTTCTATTAAGATTTGTAACCTGAAAATTTTAAAAATCCTCGTCGGTGACTGGCTTAAAAAAATTGGCGAGCACTAAATTATACATTAACTCAACAATAAATTTACATGTAGTTATAAAACTACATGTATAGTGTTATATTGCAACCCATTGCTGTCGAATTTGATATGGAAAATGTTGTAGAGATAAAAAAAAAAAAAGCTATACCTTATACAGTATATATATATATATATATATATATATACATGTATACTGGTATACCATCTTGTATCATAACCAATCATTATAAAATATGCTCATCTTATCTTATATTGGCTAATAAAAATGCGCATGCAAAATGTGAAAATAAATTGTTTATATTCAATGGCAGTTGCATAGAGTCACATAGTATGTTCTATGATCATCATAGTATAAACACACGTGCAGAAGTACTAATTATAATATAATAAAAATAATGTCAGTATAACCAGAGATGTACTGTTATCTATGTCTCTGGTATTATGATATCATAATAATATGTCTGTGTGAGGTGTTTCTACCATTAACAATATAAAGCTGTCAGCAGCAAGAATTAATGTCTGCCTCAGACTTTTAACAGAGACTAACAACGCATGGTAAAAAACTGTTTTGATTATTAAAATGCTAAAAATTTGTCTAAAAAATAGATAAAATATTTTATAAATGAGCCGTGTCATGACAAAACCAACATAATGGGTTTGCGACCAGCATGGATCAAGACCAGCCTGCGCATTCGCGAAGTCTGATCAGGATGCATGCTGTTCGCTAACAATTTCTCTACTTGTTATAGGGTTTGTAAGCAAACAGCATGGATCCTGATCAGACTGCGCGGATGCGCAGGCTGGTCTGGATCCATGCTTGTTGCAAACCCACTATGTTGGTTTTGTCATGGCGCGACTCAAATGATTAATGTAATGTGAAATAATAAATTTATATAAAATATATGAGAATTATAATCTACTGGCGTTAGAAATGTTTGTCATGGACCTTTAGGACAGCCCTCGTAGTCTAATAAATCATTATTTATTTTAAAGTGAGCAGGAAAATAAGGGAAAATTATAAGTTTCACTTAAGAAAGTCATTCCAAAAAACAAGACCTGGTGTAAAATGAAAAGAAATGCTTAACCGAACAAGGTATAATTTTTATGAATGAAATAGTGGTGTGTGTAATTAAATCTGATAAAGGTATCATGTGTAATACTCGTGACAAAAGGGCACTAGTTAAAATAACTTGTGACGATTATTAACATTATTCATATTGAACTTTATTATATAATATCTAAAAGCATGACAATGATAGTGTCTTCTTTAAGGATGACATCATCGGAATACTAGTATAACTGACTAATTAATTGATCAGACGATGATCAGCTCATAGAATGTATCACCAGTTGCTAACAACAGACATGATAGTTCCACGGTAGCAAAATGTATATATGTTAATAAAACTCTTGTTATAGCTAGGTTTATCTGTACTTTAAATTGGAGAGTCTGTAACTATAAATTATTTCATATGAGCAGGATAAATATCTACATGTACATATATACAAGAATGGGTTCAGTGGTAACTGAACTACAAATCCATGGACCACAAGTTCGACCCTCGGTACCTCAACTAAAATTACCAAAACGTCTGATTGATGTGGCAATTTATAGGGGTTCCGTACAATGATGCTTTTGTGCACATCTAAATGTACGTTATTTACTTCGTGGTAAACTTACTAAATCTAAATGCCAGGCGGGCGAATGAAATTCTGACGGAAAATAAAAGTACATAACCATGCATGTTCACCATTTCTTCCTAACTATCTTTTTATTTGTAATATAACCCTTTCTGAACCACTAGACAAAATATATCAAAAAGTTTCATAAAATCTAGAGTCTTTTCAGGTGAGAAAATGATAAGTGCAATGTATAACATGACGTTGTAAGCTTATATTTTTTTCTTAAAATCCCATTATGCCTCAAATATGCTTTTATTTTCATTTCTTTAAAGCTCTTTAATAATTTATACTGTTTGTACATCTGCTACAGATTTAATGTCCAACAGTATCGTTATAAAGAAAAGAAAATTACAAAACTCTCGTTTTACATTATCGTAATCAATCACATTTTTCTGCGAGTAATTTTGTGTAAGAACTATGGAAGGTTGTGATATTGAATTACTGCATGTATACATAGGTTCATTATTTAGGATATATGTATAATAT